TGTCGACAAAGCCCTGTAGTCTAGACATACCCCATGTGAGAGCAATCAGCAGTTGATTTATTTAATCTACATTAAACTTGATAAATTGCCCCTCCCTGGATAGAATGCTGCCTCGCCTATCCTGCCTGTAGTGTAGACAAGCCCTCTGATAGCCAGATAAGTTATACGACTCCCAGCATTGGCCCCAGTGTTGAGTAATTGAGGATTCTCAGTGATTCTACAGGCAGCTATTGGGAGGCTGCTATAAATTAAAGCAAGCTTCAAAGCTCCTCTAAATTATAGTAGAAGCTGTATCAAGCATCTTTGCTATCCCTGTTCTGTATGTACCATCTCTCAGGAGACAGTGCAGAATCTGCTTCTATTGGAACAGGTTGGTGTTTCCTCACAGACCTTTCTGGGGCACAGGTACGGGATAGAACAATTTTGGCTAATTACAGTTGAGGAAAATGTATAAGGTTTACAATCATTCCCTTTCTTTTCTCTTTTTCTCTGGGCAGGATACATTGATAGGAAAAGAATTCTGATGGTTTTGGCTGTCAGCTTCCTAACCACCAATTTTCATGAAAGTCTCCCAAAACGGAGCCATCTCACAGTAACCATTGAAGCTGTTGAATACTGAAATGGCTCATAAGGACATTAAACATGTGACAGCTAATCATATCTAGTGGGGCTTGGGACTAGTTAAGTAACTAAGTAAATAAAAAGTACCTCAGTGGTGACACATGTTACTAGTTGCAGTTAGAAATCCAAAAATTAAATCATGACATAAATGCACTGTTAAAAATACTCCTCCCCCCCCAAAAAATCTGCACATTTCTTGACACCATATGGCCATTTCTAGTATTAAAGGGTTCGGAAGTGTTGTTTATAGACATTGCACAACCATGAATGCCAAAAATAATAATCCTATTAAACTTAGTCCAAATAACCTATAACGAGATTCAAAATGATATGTTAAATACACATACTAATAGTGAAACTCAAATTGTTTTAGAAATAGCATAGGGAGAACATTAGCCTATTTTGATTCTAATAATTACTTGCTTCCTGTGTTCCAAATCTATTCAATATGTTTTTTTGTAAGAACAAATATTTGTTCTGCTAATTGTTCTGCAATTCTCATTGTTATTTTAAAGGACTGAAGAGCTACATAAGACCAGCGGTTGTTCATTAGTGTAAGATCTGGTTGTTTTTTTACTTTAATCATCTTACAGTATTTGAAGAAATTAGGTTCTCTAATACCTCTGTCCTTTGTCCAGATTTAACTTGTCTGTATTTCGTATGCCATTATGCAGCCACTTCTCAAGTAATCTCTGCCAGACTAAACATAGTCTTTCCTCATAGGACATTCCATCCAAACCCCAAATAAGTATTGTAGGAGCTCTCTTGATTGTTTATAGAATATGGATTCCCACTTTTACAAGCGAGGTAACCATTTATAGTCTACATGTTAATTCTTTCATGCCCATTAAGAGACTATGATATCATAATATCAGCTTTTAAGAAACTATCAACTTATTTACAGAAAAATGTAATAGATCTAGAAAGAAAACATGGGACTTAAATACATAAGTATTTTTAAAATATAATCATAAAAGACGATGCATGGGAAAAATACACTGCTTAACTCTGCTTTCACTAAAACTCCTATTGTCTTCCTATTGGGGTATCAGAACTAGGCCAACATGGACTACTCGACTAAATCCCACCCTAATATGTCCATTGCAGTGCCTTAGACCTATTGCTACTAAGTCTGTTATGAGTTTGGTGCTGAGGGAGAGGGATAATGTGCTTCCATACAAATGCAATCTGGTGTCAGTCAACCAGTAGTAGGGATGTAAGCAGGTAACCATTTAAACGCTTAACTGATAATCATGAGCTTATTGGTTTCCATAATGGTTACGCACCAGTGCCTGGCCCCACCCTGGGGAGCTGACTGCCACCCTGCGCTGCTGGCTCTGTATCAGAGACTTCAGTGCAGGGCAGCAACTGGCTCCCCAGGAGTGGGGCCAGCCGGCAGGAATCAGGCTGGCAGGCGGGAGTTGGCTTAAAAACTGGCTTCCGGCATGCACCGGCCTCCCTTTCTGTGCTGCTCGCTCTGTACTGGGAAGCCTGCAGCGTGTAACCATGTAACCGCAAAGATTTTTAACTGTTATACAATTATCTTATTAACCATTTTTTAACATCTCCACCCAGTAGCCCTGACAGCCCCAGGGAACCATTTCACGCGAAAGCAGGGGTGAAGCAAGACAAACTATCAGTTTCCCCACACCATGAGAAGGCAACAAAGATAAGATTGTGTGTGGAATGGTGTACGTGTAGGGGGAGCTATTTGGGACCTAAGGCTGTGTCTACACTGCAGAGCTTAACTCAACATAAGCTACGCAAATTGAGCTATGTCAATTGTGTAGCTTATTTCGAAATAGGGAATGTCTACACAGCACATATTTCGAACTAGAGCACTCTTCCTCTGATTTCCCTTACTCCTCGTACAACGAGGGTTACAGGAGTCAGAGTAAGAAGTCCTCCGGCTTGACAGAATTTTGACACTATTTTGAAATAACTGCCTGCTCTATAGATGTGGACTAAGTTATTTCGGAATAGTGCTAGTTATTTTGAAATAGTGTTGCGGTGTAGACGTACCCTAAGAATGAGAAATTTGGAAAAGAATGTAACTTGAGGATATTGTACCCTTTCTTAAATGAGAAGACTGAGTTTATAGAGAGGTTTAGCATGACTTACTCAAGGTCCCAGAATGATCCGGAAGCAGATATAACACAATTATCCCACTTTCATTACTAGGTTACATTCTGATTTTATTCCCTCACAAATATATTTATAAGTAAACTTGACTTTTCTGAAGCCTGTTGTAAATGTTGCACAAGATATTTATGACTATATTGCCTTCCTAACTTTGCTGAAGTATAAAAGTGAATAAAGGCTAAGAAAAGTTGAAAGATAACAAGATCATCTACAGCAATCTGCCTCCCTTGAAAATGTCCCTGGATTTTTTTTATTAACAGAATTGTGTGTAATTCTTCTCACAAATATCCAATTGTCCTGGGTACACTGATACAGATGGGATTTCTGAATACAAATACAACCTGACTGCATACCAGCGAAGCAAAACTCAGTTGCTTGGAGAGTCTATTGGTGAACTCTTTAAGTCTCTCTAATCACATATGTGGTGACACCGAAGGGGGCTCTTTACTTTTTTTAGTTCTCATCTGTCCCTGATACTCCATTCATTACAAAAGCCGTTCCTTTGCAAAAGTGATAGTGTAGCTATTTTCTAATACTGCTCTAAACGTTTCACTCTTTACAGGGGTGAGGGCTGGGAACCTAATGATTATTGATAATTTCCTTATTGACAGCAGAGCAAATAGTGCGTGACAAGTCACAAAGACACTCAACAGTACAAATTATTAGGGACCTTAATATTGTTGCTTGCAAAATCTGTGTCTGCTTTTTTTACTCATAGGTGCATATATGTTCCCTCTTTTTACTCTCTAAAAGCCTACAGTTTATGTTTAAATAATTGAATGTTGCACTCTTTGGAGTAGGGACTATGTTTTCCTGTGAGTTTGAATGGCACTTAGTATATCAGAGGCTACTGTGATCCAAATTCCAGCCATGTTAATTGCTCTTAACTTTCCAAATGACAGATGTAATTCTGAATTCACATAATTCCTCTTTAAATCTATCAATATCACATGTGATGTGAGAATCTATAGGGGTACAAGGTTATTATATCTATATTTAATTAGATGGCAAGCAGATAGGAAATGGGACTGCCTCATTCTGCTTTATGCACACAGAACCCAGCATGTTATTGGCATTTCACAAAAAAGTAGCAAACCTAGATGTTTTCTGATGCTTGTATGGAAATATCTAAGCACAGTGGGGAATAAAATAAAAAATACAATGTGCAAGTTTCCAAATATTATGATGTGCTCAAATACCTCCTCCAGAGGCATCCATGGGATGTCAGACTCACCTCCTTCCCCGCCACCCCCTGCAAACATGATCAGACACAATGGTAATTGAAGGCTGAAACTTTATAGGGAAATGCTTTTCTGTAAGAGATTCCGTTCTTGTCTCTGTGTGGTAGTGCAACATGGCTACATTCTTGGAAATGCAGACATTCCAGTGGGCTTTCTAAACAAGCATGACATGCTAGACTTATGGGGCAGTAGTGAAGAGGTGTTTTACCCCATGTGCCTGAAACTGCACCAGCTAACTTATCTCACTAGTTCTGTAGCACACATAGCATGAGAGATCATCAGGTGTTTGTAGACTCCAGTTATCTCTTAGATTATAATAACAGGACAGGTTTTCAAGTGTGTGTTAAAGACACTCATGAACTTTTGTGCATCCCTGGCTTACATATCTGATTTGCACACACAAATGGTTGAAATTTGAAATATTCTACAAATTGGAAAATGTTTTTAGGATGTCTGTTTTTCTTATCATCATTCTAGGAAATATCTCCAAATTAGTAAAAACATTAAATGTGGCAGACACACTGCTTAAGGATATATGCACACGAAGTTCACACACATAAAAAAACACACAAAAACTGCGAAATCTTAGGGTAGGATAACTTTACCCTGGGATTTTTATTTGTGTTTAAACATGTGTTAGTTAATGTATGTTGTGTCTAATTTAGTGAGCAGTTTTATAATATCCTCCGCTCACCACCACTCTAATATCTGAGACATTTTTCATATAAAATCATTAGCAATAGCAAAATTCATGGTGGACTTCATATACTCTTGATACTTTTCCTGTAAGGGTAAGAACTCTGCTTGGAATAGTTATCTTTTAAAATTCACATTAATCAATTTCTTCTCCCCTCTCCCCCAGTTGATAGGGTTTAATGAGTAAAAAGGAGCATGAGGGTTGAGAGTATCCCTAATTATCATGACAGGAAATTCTAGTGTCATCACTATACTCATGTTTCTTCCATTTGTTTGTTGCTTGTTGGGTTTAACCTTTAGGCTGCTGCAGTGGGAATCAGTGAGAATCTGGTCGTGTTTTGCTAGAGGTTCCATTGAAGAAACAACTGCAGGACAGCAATAAGACAAGGTAGGTAACACTATTGATTAAAAGTTTTTTGACCAATGTTTTCCATTGATAAATAGATTTTCTAATGCATTTCCCCCATCAAAATAATTTCTTCCTTTTCATCCATTTAAAAGAAAAAGAAATGTTAGAAAACATTATCGAGATGGTTAGCAAATTGTTTCATTTACCCAAACCTCAGCTTCTGAGAAATGACAGATGTGGGTAGCTAATGTGTTAGTGTTTTGGATACAATTTTTGAAAACTCTCAAGAATTTTGCAAAAGTGAAAAACAAACACCTTTTGAATTCTTGGAAATAAAAAACAACTTTGAAATATTAATTAGGAATAGGAAAGGTTGAGTGACTTGGCTCACTCATGGGCCTGGAGGGGAAGGTTTCTTTTTGTTGCTTTGGATCCCCGGACTACACACTGACAAGAGGCTTTGGGCTAACGCATCTTGAACCCAAGTGTCAGGGCTGGATTAACATTTTGTGGGCCCAGTGCCAACCATATTGTGAGTCCTCATACAGTCCTCATGCAGTCGTTCTTGGCCCCTTCCAAGTGTGGGCCTGGTGTGGCAGTGCTATAGCTGGAGAAAGGGGTAAGCAGTGAGGTAGTAAAGTTTGCAGATGATACAAAACTGTTTAGGATAGTCAAGACAGAAGCAGACTGTGAGGGACTCCAAGAAGATCTCACCAAACTGAGTGACTGGGCAACAAAATGGCAAATGAAATTTAATGTGGATAAGTGTAAAGTAATGCACATCGGGAAAAATAACCCCAACTATACGTACAAATCAGGAAAGAGATCTTGGAGTTATCGTGGACAGTTCTCTGAAAACTTCCACGCAGTGTGCAGCGGCGGTCAAAAAGGCAAATAGGATGCTAGGAATTATTAGGAAAGGGATAGAAAATAAGACCCAGAATATCTTACTGCCCCTGTATAAAACTATGGTACGCCCACATCTTGAATACTGTGTACAGATGTGGTCTCCTCACCTCAAAAAAGATATTTTGGCCTTGGAAAGGGTTCAGAAAAGGGCAACTAAAATGATTAGGGGTTTGGAACGGGTCCCATATGAGGAGAGGCTAAAGAGACTGGGACTTTTCAGTTTAGAAAAGAGGAGACTGAGGGGGGATATGATAGAGGTCTATAAAATCATGAGTGGCGTGGAGAGGGCTGATAAAGAAAAGTTATTTATTAGTTCCCATAATAGAAGAACTAGAGGACACCAAATGAAATTAATGGGTAGCAGGTTAAAACTAATAAAAGGAAGTTCTTCTTCGCACAGCGTGTTGTCAACCTGTGGAACTCCTTGCCAGAGGAGGCTGTGAAGGCTAGGACTATAATAGAGTTTAAAGAGAAGCTGGATAAATTCATGGAGGGTAGGTCCATAAATGGCTATTAGCCAGGGGTTAAAATGGTGTCCTTGGCCTCTGTTTGTCAGAGGCTGGAGAGGGATGGCAGGAGACAAATCGCTTGATCATTGTCTTCGGTTCACCCTCTCTGGGGCACTTGGTGCTGGCTACTGTCGGTAGACAGGATACTGGGGTAGATGGACCTTTGGTCTGACCCAGTACGGTCGTTCTTATGTTCTTATGTACTGGGTAGTGAGTCTCAGAGGCATTTTTCGTTTTGATCCATAGGTGACATATAGGGGCCTGAACCCAGGTTCACATGCACCCCACGCTCTCCTCCCCAAGGCAGTTGGGCTGGGGCCAGCAGTCAGCTCCATGGACTCTCCTTCTCTCTCTACTTGCTTCCCTCCCTCACCAGCAGCGAGGAAAGGCACAGACTAGGTGGTTCCAGCCCATGCAGTGCTGCTTCGCACCACTCTGGTGAGCTGTGTAAAGATAGCTAGGGAGGGGTGGAGCAAGGGCAGGGTGAAGAGAGGCAGGGCTGGTGTCCCTTCTCCTTTCCCTGCCATTCCTCGCCACTATTTTGATCCCACAACTATGAATGATTGTACGTACTGCTATACACAGAGCTTCCTCAGACTTCAGCTTTTCTCATTGAACGGTACACCCATGTGGGTTTACCAGTGTCCACAGTGAGCAGAAATGTCATAGTTATCGGGGAAACTCACCACAGATTTACCTTCTTCCTTATCTAGACATGTCTCCAGAACCAATTTCACCAGTCACTATATGTGACCCTGGTCTCAGCTCAATAAAAGTTCTACGGTGAGAAGCTACCTAATCAGTTCTGACACATCCCTTCCCCAGCACCCACTAACGTAGAACATTATTCAGTTTGTGTGACTGGATCCATATTGTAAGATTGTCCCACCTAATGAGGAAAAGTTGAAGTGCCTCAACTTTTGTTGTTCTTTTCTCCTGCTCTTTGTTTCTGTGAGGGAAATCACTAATGCAATATTCCTGTCTTCTTTTTAAAAGAAAACTAAAAAAGCAAAACAAAACATAACATAACCCACCTGGTAATGCTGCTTGAAAATAGCAATTCAGTGCCAGTTAGCACTGGGAAGATGCCAGGATTTGTTTCTTGATTTTTATCCTACTTTTTCTACAAAAAATTACAGTGGATCACTATTTGATTTTGGAGCAATGATGTAACAGCAGCGCAAATTAAACTTAAGCACTCCTGTTCAGATCTGGAAGGCAGGTGCTAGATTCCCTTTCTGAATATTAGGTAAATCTGGAAAGGAAAAGCCCATTTCTGCTTCCATAGCTGTGGAAACAGTCAAATTCTCCTGTGTGCCTGGTATTGTAGTGAAAACTGCCCAGACTCTCTAGCAGAGCCTTCCCTTCTTTACTTATATTAATCTGTCCTGGTGGGGTCCACATACTTCCCTTGCTAGGCTTCAGGCAGAGGTGCATTGTCCACATAATCCCTTCTTTGGGGGCTGCAAAAACCAAGGCCAGTAGTACCCCAGTCCAGTCTAGGGAAGGCTTTTGAGGGTGAGGACTGGGCCAAAGCCACCTACTCCTCTGTGTACACATGTTCTACACTCACAGCACCAGCCCCTTCTCGCAGCCAGCTCTCCATTCACAGCATGGCTCAGAGTTTCCACCCTTCTCTCTCCCTCTCTCTCTCTTTCCTATTGCTAGCAGCCAAGGGAATGATGGGAAATGTAGTCCCTTCCCTGCTCTAGGGCCAGCTCTGTATGCAGGGAGCTAAACAAGGAACTACAGCTCCCAGGATACTTGGGCCCTTCTGAGCATGGACTGGGGGGCCAGGGAACAGTGGGCCCAATGGTAAATGCAACACTGCTAATTGTGAGCTCATTTGCTCAGGTGCATCAGCGTTATGACATCAGCGAGAGCTGGACCTGGTTAAGTGATAGAATTATGTCCTGTAGGCCTGCTTCTTCTCCCATTTATAGGGTTTCCAAATTGTTTCACCAAAAATACCGCCCACCCCCCAAAAAAAGTGCTGGGAAACTTTTGTTGAGCGAGCAAAACAAACAAACAACAAAACCAAACACGCTGAGAAAATGTTGAGAGAAAAAAAAAGTGCCGGGCCGCCGAAATGCAGTCACAGCCCCTTTAATTGCTGGGCTCCTCCCCTGCCGCTCCCTCCGCTCCCGCCATGTGTCCGTTGGACGTAGAGCCGGGGAAAGCAGAAAATACTTGACATTTTATATATAAATACCGGACAATTTCTTTATCAGACAGAAGGTGCAAATACTGGACTGTCTGGTTCAATACCAGACACCTGGCCCATTTATAGCTTAAGCTTTTAGCTTAAGCTGTACAGCAGTGTTTTTTAAAGTGTGTTCTGCAAGGCAGCTGGAGGTGTACTGCGGAGAAGAGTTTCAAAATGGCTGCCTTAAAAGGGCAATGCCTGCTCTTCTCTTAAAAGGGCTTTTTTTTGTTTTGCTCAACAAAAAAACCCTTGGTGTTCCATAAAAAAAAATTGATTGTTGGGTGTTCCTCAGACTTAAAAAGTTTAAGAAACAGTGCTGTACAGGATCACGTACTAAGCTCCAGAGGTTCTGCTTATCGTCATTGTATTCTCAGACTGGTTTAAATCAGGACTAATTCCAAGAAATCAGTGGAGCTACAGTGCGGAAAAAGGGGCGTGATTGCCTTATTAATGTAATACCAATACATTGTTTTTCAGACATCATTTCCAAACAGTATTCACCACGTAGTGATTCATGTCAAGTAATTTAGCGTGTCCTTGTGAATATACGCCCACATATCATGCATCCATGTCCACATCTGGCACAAACTTGTTGGTCATCTGAAATGAGAAACCAAGAACTGAATAGACCTGGAAACTAAACTACTCTCTCACCCCCTAAAGACTGTGGAACTAATTCACCTCTCATTTGACACCCATTTTCTAGTGGAATGTCACTGAAAGCCCATTGAAGTCAATAGAAGGACTCCCATGGATTTACTTTGGACAAGCCCTTTGGTGCAGAAATTGACTATTGTGGGAAACATTGTTGCATGAACTGGTCACACAGCAAAAAAGTTTGGATAAAACAAGATCTCGACTTGGGGTATGTCTACACTACAAAGTTAATTCGAACTAACAGACGTTAGTTCGAATTAACTTTGATAGGTGCTACACTAGCGCGCCGCTAGCTCGAACTTAATTCGAACTAGCGGAGCGCTTAGTTCGAACTAGGTAAACCTCATTCCACGGGGACTAAGCCTAGTTCGAACTAACTAGTTTGAATTAAGGGCTGTGTAGCCCCTTAATTCGAACTAGTGGGAGGCTAGCCCTCCCCAGCTTTCCCTGGTGGCCACTCTGGCCAACACCAGGGAAACTGTACTGCCCCCCTTCCGGCCCCGGACCCCTTAAAGGGGCACGGGCTGGCTACGGTTCCCGTGCCAGATGCAAGCCTGCCAGCACCCAGCCAGCAGACCCCGCACCCGGCACGGCACCGACCAGCCACCCGCTGCCACCCAGCCCTCTGCCTCTTCCCGCGACCAGGCTGGCGGC